ATTGATGTACCATTTTCATGGTAATAATGCAATGTTTGATTTTAAAATGGGTTTCAAAGGATGAATTTTGAGATTTAAAGTTTTCAATTGATATATAATTTCTGATGATTTCTAAAGTGTGATAGAGAAAAAGGCAATGAAGAAGACTTTTTTTGACAAAGGTCAGAACTCCTGATATGATGTAGATTTTTGAGGTGCACTCTTGTCATAAATTAATCTATTACTTTTCCTACATAATTTTTTTACAAAAACATTGGTAAAATATCTATTTAGGAGTCTTAGACCTTTCCAACGATATATAGTTTGTCATGATTAGATTAGGATTTAATTGTAATATAGTGAAGTAAACTTAGGCGTCCCACAGAGGGTACGGGTTTAAACAACATGAGAAACTGTTGTAATATTTATAATTGAAAAAAAAAAAAAAAATTGAGTATTTAAGAAATTATATTTTAGAGTACTGTAAAATTTAAATATGTCTTACATATTACATTAAATACATATTTAATATTACATTAAATACATTTCTATGTCTGTCTTAATTTGTTCATTTTTCAGCTTGTATTTTAGTGGAAAATAGCTTCTCTTATGTTTACAGCAGCTGATTTATTAGCACTTATAATTAAAAGGTTGATGGTTGGTACATTATATTATCACACTTGATAATGAATTACAAATGAATTACAGTGATATTTCACCCAAATATAGTATGAAAAAGAGCAACATGAAGATTCTGTAGATTTTTAATTTTTTTGTGTGTTACATGGAAAAAAAGCAAATCTTCTGCGTGTAATGGTGCGTTCAAGTCATGTCGGATAGATCGTATTTACGAGTTGAACGCACATGAACGCCACCACAAAGTCGTTATTACGAGTGGGAAACTCGAAATTTTCTTTAAGCCCCGAGTTTCCGAGTTGGGGGCGTGTCAATGAAATATAAAAAATGCAAAACACACCTGATGCGAATTCTTTGCTCTTCATTTTCTATAAGCAGAGTTAACAGACCCTGTTGTATTTTCTTGTAATTTATTAAAAGAAGGTACACCGCCATCTTGTGCCGACTAAACTGACTTGAACGCACCTGACGTCGTAATTACGACTTGTCAACTCGTAAGTACGAACGTCCCAGGAGGACTTGACCGCAGCATACAACAACACAAGGAAGATTAAATGACTGTGAACTATCCCTTTAATTCAGTGCAGGTGTGTTTTGGCTTCAGATCTAGTCTGAACAAGAAAGGAGCTGGAAAGTGAGAAATTGCTTTGTAGAAGCAATGAAATCATAATGTTTACCGAGTTAATGATATTGCTCTTTGTTTTTCTTTTCCCTAGTGAAAGAAAAACTGTTTTGGGACATGAACAGCAACCACTGTGTTTTGTTTGTGTGGGAAGAAACTATGCAGCAAAATAGGAGTTTTCTCTCTTAAAAATGAGTGGAAACACTTAGAAACAGTCCAGGTACTGATTCTGCAGCCGCAGTCTTAGCGCATATTTTCTGTCTATGTGGTTGGCAATCTGTTTACTTGAAGGGCCCTGTGCACACGGCACATGTTCCTGCATGTGCAGACCAGCCTAAGACAGAAATTGGTAATGGTTAAGCAGGGAAAGAGCAGGATTTGGGCACTATCATGTCTTATAAGTGATTCATGTGTTTTTGTGCATTAGAAAAACCTATTGATGTTAATTGGTACCAGATGCAGTTACTCAATATACGAGTAAGAGCAAGAGTTTTGATGATCCAGAGGCGAATTCCATACAATGCTATTGATCTGCAAGTTGGTCCTTCTTCATAAGCAACATGCCATGACAAGTCTGTAAAATATCACTAAACCTTCACTATTAAAGCTCCAGAAAGATGCAAGCTCCAGAATTGAAATAAGCCTACAGTATATGAAAAGTGTATGTCAAAGTAACATGGTACTGCCATCTGATACCATACATTTTGAGACATGCTGTAAATTATAAAAGGGAAAAATCAAGGTATATTAGCGTTTTCCTCCAGACAATGATTGGAAACAATTTGGAAAAAGTAATGGTGGTTGCGTAAGAGAACTGTGATGTTTTTGGTCTCAAGGCCTTTAAAATCCACTTTCCTAGGCTTGTTTGAGTTAGAAACAGAGAGTGTCTGTTGGTTCCCGTCTCGCCTCTGTAAACTGTGTTCACATCATAGCCATACTGAGAATTTGCCTTTACCTGCCCCCATGTTTGCATCTATTTCAGGCCGTATAAGAGATGCATTTGTTCTCAGAATTTAAGAGGCCTCTAAACACACCGGTGCTTTTCACACTTTATTTTGAACAGGACTGCTTGGCATCTTTTGAGCACGAGGTATTATAATATACATGCAGATGGAAAAAGTGTGAACATATCCAGACATACTCAGATCTGGAAAATCATTTTTTTTCTCCTATGTGCAGAGGCTGCTATAAGTAAATCATATGTAGATAGTAAACACTGTGGCGTTCCACAAACATGCTGGCTTTGTTGGAGCGGTTTAACATGTCAGCCTTGTTCAGCCAATGGCGTGACTTGGGGGTGTGGTTACCTGTTTGTCTGTGTTTGGGAAACCTGTTTGTAAGCCATTACGTTTTGCGATTCCATTTGATGCCACTAATGTTTAATAGGTCAAGCCTTTATACCAATCATTCAGCTGATGGAAAAAAGTCTTTCAAACAATTTCAAGTGGACAAAAGACTCAGTGATTGTAAAAACTGGACAATACCTAGAACAGGGTTTCCCAAACGGTGAACCCCTGGGGGTTTGTGAGTTAAATTAAAATTGCAATATCATGCAAATTGCAATTATCAAATCGCAAAAGGCTGCAACTTAGTCTAATGCGTTGCGTGTTTCAGTGTTCATTTACACACAAGCAGCTCATGATCAGGTGTTTTCAGTGTCTCGGAACGGCTCGGTTCACATTAAATTCTGATCTACAAAAACTCATCTCTGCATGTTGCTTATTTTTGTGGACCTAAGTTGGTAACTCTTTAGATTAGGGAACACAATATTCTCTGTTATCTAAGAGTTTTCCCTCAATAAATTTGCTGCTTATTATAGGTAATAAGGTAGTTTAGGTATGAGGATAATATGGTCATGCAGAATAAGGCATTAATGTGTGCTTTATAAGTACTAATAAACAGCCAATATGCTGGTAATATGCATGCTAATGGACAACTAGTTAATAGTGAGAATTGGTCCTTAAAATAAAGTGTTACCCGTAAGTTTTCAACCTTTTATCAGTTAATTTGTAAACCTGTTGTCAATTATACTAAAGGTCTCCCCTGCAGATTTCTGCCAAAATAAAAGCTTGAAGGTTTAACATTTGAAAGTGAAGCATTATAACTTGCAATGTAAAATGTCGAATGACTTTTTATTTTAAAATACAATAAAAATGTAATCATATTTTATTAATATTATTATTAAGATAGACTGCATTCCTAAAAACAACAGTGTGGATTTTCTGAGACACTATCACAACTAAAAAGATGTTTGAGTCCAATTTAAAGAGTCCAGCTACAAAGTCAATGCAAAGACTGTTTGTTTTTAACACTCTTCAGTCTTATTTGGTGTAGCGAATCAGCTCATTCATGCGGAAATATGAATAATTAATCATAACTAGTTATAATTAATTATAAATATTTAGATCCGCTGTAGATATTTACTTGACCTCTCCTGGGCCTTGTTCTCAGACAACTTGGCACCCAGTATGTTTATTGGGTGAGGGGTCTGTGAACGTTTGTTAATCTAATGAATAATTGATTTGTTAAATCAAATGAAAAATGGTGTGTCTGATTGGTCCAGACGCTACATTGGTTTCTAGTAAAAATCGAAGCCAGGTGTGAACAGCCTTAAAAAGCAACTATTTCTATTAGCATCAAAGTGTGGCATTCTTTATGCCTGGATGTTTCAGCAGCACCAATATGAGAGGTTTAAGTGTTTATCACATTGCAGTTCAAATTGCAATTTCAATATACAACAAAATAATGAATAAAAAAAAATGTTTTTTAAACAAATTCTGCCGCCTAATGCTATGAATCAGTAATTAAAAAATAAAAACAATTAAAATAAAACACTAACAGAAAAATTAGAAATATTTTATTTGTTTAACTGCATGTCATGACCTTCTAACATGACCTTGAGCTTGTCTCTGGACAGATGGGTGACGGTTATATTCATTTATTTATTTATTTTATCCATTTTTTGTGCTTGATATGGCCTGACTGCTGGGATCAGTGAAAATCACCTCTCAACTTCTCAAATCCCTTGTAGCAGCCTAGTTTTCAAAGTTGTACTCATCAGAATAGCGAGCAAGGTTTGAAGGCATTGTGTTCTTGTTCTGTTAAAATAACCCACTACAATCACAGAGCAGTGACTAAGGCCTCTGGCATGCCAAAAATGGTATTTATCACTTACTATTGGTGTAAAATAAGCAGTCAGGACTGTTTCCATGTTGATGGCCAGGCCGTGTGGGGTTCAGAAAGACACTGTATACCTGGAATTGGACTGACAGATGTAGATGACTTTTATGGTCATGGAAAAGTACTGAAATAAATGTTGTGCTGATTATCACCCCTGCCTGGGTGATAATCCACTTGAAATGAGATATTGGAAATTTGCTGCATATATCAGTTGCCACAAAGAAATCTGTGCAAGGCTATTTTGACTTGCTGTGTTTTACTGTGTCTGAGATAGGGCTGGACGATATGGCCAAAATTGATATCATGGTATATTTCTTAATTTCGGTCGATACGATATAATTCCGATATCGATATGAACACTATTTATCTGAAATAGAAATCTTTTGTATATTCAACGAAGTCAAACGGCACAAATAAATCAATGTATGGGAAACACTGGTAATGTATATCAAAATATCGGAAATGTGTTTAAAAATCATATCACCGTTATTGAAAAAAATTATATCGCGATACATATTGATATTGAATTATTGTCCAGCCCTAGTCTGAGACTTAATAGATTTCTCTGTCTGATTCCCTCTAGAATCGGTATATGATCTTCTTCCGAAAGAGCTGCAGCTGCCGTCTTCTAGAGAGCAGAACGCAGCCGCTATGAGTCAAAAAAGTGGTGGAGAGGCAGGACCTCCGCCGCCGACGGCTGTCGCCACAGGTAAGCTTTGTTTTCGTATTTTAAACCATCTTTTCTCTCAGATGCTGAAGACTGGAGCTAAGGCCTGCATCGTGATGCATATTCACCTGCCCACATTTTTTGTGGTTGATTAATTTGGTTCAAGAAAAATGGTCTTTATATGACAGGTGGTTTGAGGGGAGGGTGTGGTGACATCAGAGGTGGAGCAAGCTTTTGATAAAAGTTAACAGACAACTAACATTTCTTTTTTTTGGAGTAACATGCACCGAATGCAATGAATTGTTCACAATAGGACCAGAAAATAGGGACGTTTAAGCACAGAAAGCTGTTTTAATGGTAAATATTAAAATAATACTCTGTTATTTAATCAGGAAAATATATCTGATTGCATATAGATTGGGTTTGTGGTCTAAACATAATCTTGTTCCTTTGTGATGTTGGGCCTTGCTGAAAAAAAAATATAAGGAAAACCATCAAAAAAAATTATTTAATGTGGGGAAAAAAGACATTTCAGAGAAAACTAAACTTTTATTGGGGCATCAGAGTAGCAAATATTTTTTGCAAATAGTAATTAAATATCAATATTTAATTACATTTAAATCAAAAGCATTTTTTAACTTGGTATTTAACATACTCAACATTAAAGGGGTCATATGATGCTGCTAAAAAGAACATTATTTTGTGTATTTGGTGTAATGAAATGTGTTTATGTGGTTTAAGGTTCAAAAAACACATTATTTTCCACATAATGTACATTATTGTTTCTCCTCTATGCCCCGCCTTTCTGAAACGCGTCGATTTTTACAAAGCTCATCAGTCTGAAAA